GATGCCGTAAAGTGTTTGGAGAACAGGTCCTTCAAGACTCTCCACAACGTGACTGATTCGGGTTCCAAACATTTATACCAAGTCATGGCGCCTTTCCTCAGAGTCGTCGGGAAGAGCCTGCACTCGATAGCTCCCCGGACATTTCGGTAATCAAGCATGGCCTCGATGTCCTCTAGGTGATCGTCTGGGTCGGACGTGCCGTTGTACGTCGACAGCGTCGGGGGCTTCTCCATCCCTTGGGGTATGGGGGCAGCCATGATTTCTCGGGACAGCGGGGTGCGGTAGTCGTCCTCGTCGCTGGGTGCCGGGGACCGATGGGGAGACGAGCCGTTTAAAATAGGGCCCTGGTTTCGGGTTCTCGACCTCCTGCCTGGGTTGTCGCCTCGAGGATCCCCGGCCGGGATCGCCGCAGTGCTCTGGTTTCTCACGCGAACTTGCCTTGCTGGGGACCTGGTGTGTTCTCGCGTTATCTGTGCGCGGTGTCTCTCCAGTCGCGGCCGGCGATTTCTGGGTCGAGGTGAGGGACTCCTCGAACCTCCGTTCTGGTCTTCCCGCCGGGGGTACCTCCGAGGGCCGACGCGTTCCAATGCTCCAATTCTCGCGTTTTGCTGGAACAACAGCTGGTTCGTCTGGTTGATGGCCGTAAAGAGGGCGGCCACCGTTGGGTCCGCTCCCGCCGAGATGGGAACGGGTTGGAATGCTGGCGGGCCTGGGGGCCGGTGGTCGGCCTGAAGGGGCCGCTCCGCGGATGACGGTGAGGCAGTTTGCCCGTCCCTCTCGTCGGTTTCCGCCGGACGCGTCATTTCCGTTTGTGGCGACGTTGAGCACGAGGTCGTGCGGAGTGTCGTCGCGGTGTGGGCTAGCCATGATCGTGGAGTGTTGGTGAAATTTTGGTTTTCTGCTCGGAGTAACGGGGAAGTTTCTGTTCCCACAGACGGCGCCACTGATCTGACCTGATCAGAAAGGGATCACGGACTGGCCACACGCTGTTGGACTGCCACCAGTTCACCGGTGATGAGGAGGAGAAAGGGGGGTGTACCTGCAAAACACTCTGATGCCAAATTAAGGAGTTGGGCAGAGTGAGAGCAAAGTACAGAAAGCGGGTAAGGAATGAATTACCTGACCCTCTTGAGGAAGAGGGTATTTATAGAGAGACCCCAGCGATGGGCCAACGGTCACTTGCGTTGGGCTGGACTGCCAGGCCCAACCCAGGTGACTGCTAGGGCTTACCTGGCGTAGTGAAGACCGAAATGTGGTCTTCGCCCTAGTCCAACTGCTCCTTGATCTCCAGAAAGTGGGTTTGACCTGTTCTTTCGGAGGTGGGCAGTTGGTTGACGACGTGTCCCCACGGAGGGGAGCACGTGGAGAACGTGCACCGGGCACGTTGTCCTCCCCGCGGAGGGGAGCTCGGGAGGTTCCCCGGAGACAGGTTGTTCTCCCCGCAGAGGGGAGAACGCGAGGATGTGGAGGAACCAAAGGTCTTGCTCGACGGACCGGGGTGTGCCCTGTTCGGCCGACAAAAGAGGATGTTGAGACGCTACAGGACGCGTCGTTCATCCCGGCGGGGAGCGTGCCCTGCCCGTCCTATGGGGCGCGTGTGCCAGGTCGGGCTAGTCCACTTGATGGGCCATGTGCGTTATTGGCTGGACCGCGAGGCTGGGCCCAGACCAGAACACAAACCACTAGGGAAAATCAGTTGTTTCTCAATAAACCTAAGTGTGGTTTTGCTCTAACCTCGAGTAGAATACCTAGGCCATTTTATCACCAAGGAAGGTGTTTCTACTGACCCTCACAAAATTCAAGTGGTCATTTCTTGGCAAATCCCAACTAATCTAAAACAATTGAGAGGATTCCTAGGATTAGCTGGCTACTACTGCAGATTTGTGAGAGATTTGACAAAATTGCGAAACCCTTTACTAACTTAAAGAAAGATAATTTTGTGTGGAAGGAGGAAGCTACACATGCTTTTAATACCTTAAAACGTGCACTTGTGTCTGCTCCTGTTTTGAGTTTACTAAACTTTGAAAAATGATTCACTATTGAGACTGATGCATCTGGGAAGGGCATTGGGGTTGTATTATTGTAGGATCAACACCATATTGCTTACATCAATAAAGCCTTGGGTCCTAAGAAACACATAATATATGTGTATGAAAGGGAGTTATTAGCCATAGTCTATGCAGTGCAAAAACGAAGCTCTTACTTGGCACATACACCTTTCACAATCAAGATAGATCAAAAAAGCATCAAATACATGTGGGATCAGAAACTAAGAGCATGTTTGAGAGTTTTTTTAATCAATATGCCACAACCTGAAATTAATAGTACCAAATTACTACAAGTTGAAAAAAATTTATCAATCTGCCATGGTTTCTTAAAGGGGCCGTCATTCCATTGGACGAACCTATGAATGGGGGCTCGACCATGAAGGGGCTCGGCCAACCATTGACCGACTCTTTGAAAGTTTTGTTTTTTTTTATTGTTTTAAATATAAATATAAAATATTTATTATGATTTTATATATTTAATTGTTTTTTAAATGTTAAAAACTCTTTTCATGATTTAAAATATTAATAAATAAATAATTGAATTAATTTTATAATGTTATTAAATATTTTTCATAATATTTAATTAATTATCTAATTAGTTAAAATAATTTGCTTATTAAATAAAATCATAAATAGAAGCAATTTTATTAATACCAACGAGTGAAAAAGATACATTATTTTTGTCTACGTAAATGACCGTCAGTTCCACACATTTTACTCTTTTTCACACGTTTCCCCCTGCCTAACTCTTCGGGTTGTCGTCTTGTAGGTGATGGGATAGAGTCGGAAGACAACTCTTCATCTTCACATACATTTTCAGGTTGATGTGATGTATCGACCATGTCCATATCAGTAACAGAAAAATCTGGCCATTCCATGAACTGATCGTCAATTAGTTGGGGACTGATTGGGATGGTTGGTTGAAGGTGGTTGGAGGGTTTTGTTGGATGGGAGGGTAATAAACATCGTCAGTGCAGTCGGTAGAAGTCGGTTGAGACAGTGAAGGGTTAAATGTTTGGTGTTGTCATTGGGGGTAAGAGAAATCAAAATTAGGTCGAGGAATTGGAGTGAATTGGAAGGGTGGTCGAAATATGGTTTGTTCCTAGTATTCTTGGTGATAGTAGAAGTTAGGTTGCGGGGTTGGGTGTATGGTGTTGGTTGTTGAGAGAAGGTGGAAAAGAATGTGGTATGAGTGCGTTGATATGTTGGTTGGGGTTATGTGGGTTAGGGGTGTTGATATGTGGTCTAGGGGAATGAAGATGTTTGGGATTGAAATTGCGAAGGGTTCATCTGAGGCATTTCCTGAGGCATGGACGATGAGGATCTTTGCTCTGATGAAGACGATGCATATTGACGGGGGTCTTTTAGAAACTGGCCTTGAGAAGTATGCATAAATGGAATGGATAAAAACCATTGCATATATGCAGTACTATGAACATAGTTACCGTTAACCATGTTACCTTGTAGGGTCAATTTATTTTCTTCTGTTTTTTCACTCGTTGTTCTCTTCTCTATTTATATTGTGCCAATGATCTTCCCATGTATTGGGCATTTCAGTTTCATGTTGTTCGCGTAGACATCTAGGCTGAGAAGGGATATATTGTTGAAATCCAAACTGCAATTTGACCCTATCAGCTTGATGCATTTCAACAATATGAAAACTGATAATTGAAGTGGCCGCGCTCCAAATCTTGCTATCTGCAAGGACGCATTCTGGGTAGTTCGGGTAGGGCCTCCAAATAAACTGTTATAGAAAATATAATAGTTAGAGTTTAAATACAAATGTTAGCATATATTTAGAGAATGTAGCGGTAACAAACTTACATCGTTATCCCTCAATCTATCTAGTTTAAATCTAAATCCTCGGATGTAGTGCCGAGGATTATTTTGGTAAGCCATGCCTCTTCGAACAAATCTTGCAATTTTAAAAGAAAGAAATTTAATAAAGGGAGGTAAAAAAAGAAAATAAAATAAAAGAAAATGTAAATAATTTTTACCTTGTTGCGTAAGGATGGTATGAATCGACAGAACTCTCTGGAGCAATTAGTGGTATATATACCAATATGTCCAAACACGTAGTAGGAGAACGCATCCTCCAATAATTTTTATCCCTACCCTACATGTTTTACACATATGCCTATATAATGTAGCTAAACAAGCAGAACCCCAACTATATCTATTGCATTTATCTAAATCTCCTACTAGGGGTATCCAAGAAGAATGTAAATAATTATGGCTCTTGTCTGGCATCAATACTTTAGCTATGAGTTGTAATATATAAATTTTTGCATGGAGAAGGTTCTCCTCATCGGATGGCAATGTGTTTTGTCATAGTTGTGCTAATATAGTTTGTAGCCAAACAATTTTAACACATGCTTTATGTTTATCGGATGTCAAAGGTTCGATACCTAAATTTTCCATATATACATCACTTCCTACCTGAGTAGGACCATTCACAGCCTTACCATTTACACGGAGACCTAATAACATACTTACATCCTCCAATGTGATGGTACATTCACCTGTTGGAAGATGGAAAGTATGTGTTTCTGGTCTCCACCTCACCACCATAGCAAGTACGAGCTTTGAATCAACATTGGGTATGCCTACATCTTCACAAGTTGATGTTTCAATAAATATTTATTGACTAATTGATGTTTCATGCGTGAGTTCAGAGACATGGAACTACGAAAAATAGTTGTCAACATGGGTATGCCTAGATCTTCACGAGTTGATGTTTCAATAAATATTTATTGACTAATTGATTTTCATATGTTTTACTGAACATTTTGTTTAAACATTTTCATCTACAGGATATGCACTAACGGAGGCAACATTTAACTACTACGGGGCGAAATACGAAGAACAAGTAGAGCAGCTTTAGAGTGGATAGACAGTATTCCCAACGAGAAGTGGTCGAGGGCGTTCAACGGAGGACAGTGGTGGGGACACATGACAAAAAATTTGACCGAAGCTATGAACTCGGTACTTAAGGCTACCCGAAACCTTCCTATTACAACATTGGTCAAGTCAACGTTCTATCTTCTAGGATCGTTGTTTGGAAAACAAGGACCCGATTGGACAAAAATGTTGTCATCCGGTCAAACTTTCACGGAAAACTGTAATAAGGGAATGACCGACGAAGCGAGTAAACCTAGCAGCCATAATGTCATCCAATTTGATCGCGAGAGATTCTGTTTTATGGTTGCCAAAAGCATTAATCAACACGATGGTCGACCATTAGGTACTTTTAGCGTTGATCTCAAGAGAGGGTGGTGCGATTGTGGGAGGTTTCAAGCATTTCATTTACCTTGCTCTCATGTAATCGCAGCATGTGTCAGTATACGACAGAAGCACAACATGCACATACCGGATGTTTTCAAGGTTCTGAGTGTATTCAAAGTCTACAGCGAAAGCTTCCTTAGACTTCCACACCACTAAAATTGGCCAACATATGAAGGATTCACTCTTTTCCATGACGAGACAATGCGAAAGAATAAGAAAGGGCGTCCAAATAGTACAAGAATTAGAACTAAAATGGACGATCTTGAGAAAGAAAAGAGAAGATGTGGAATATGTCGAGAAATTGATCATATGCGTAGAAAATGTCCAATGTAGCAAACCCGTCAAATCGATCCGTCTAAATTACTTTATTTGTTTTTTAAATTATTTTTAAAAATATTTCTTAAATTGTAATGTCTATTATATAAGTTATTAATATTTTAAATCATGAAAAGTGTTTTTAATATTTAAAAAATAATTAAATATATAAAATCATAATAAATATTTTATATTTATATTTAAAACAAAAAATAAAGCTTTCAAAGGGTCGGCCAATGGTTGGCCGAGCCCCTTCATGGTCGACCCCTCTGCATAAGTTCGTCCAATGAAAGGACAGACCCTTTAAAAAATAATGATAGATTGGTAAGTTTTTTTCAACTTGTAGCAATTTGGTACTATTAATTTTAGATAGTGGCATATGTATAAATATCTTGCATGTTTGAATCTCTTTTATAAAACTGTTTTTTAGTTTTTAAAAATTAAAAATTTGTTTGGTTATATGATTTTATAAAATTGTTTTGAAAAACTATTTCCATTTTTCAGTTTTTAAAAATAAAAAACAAAAACAATTCATATATGTTTTGCTTTTCAATTTTTTACTTTTTGAAAACTCAAAAACACGGAGAATTTATTGTTTTCATTAGTGGCAAAAATGATAACATTGAACCACTTTGATTTTGTATTAAAACTGAAAAATGCTATTAGGAGAGAACATGCATGCCATGCATCTTTTGTTACTTCCAATATGTATAACACAAGTTTTAAAATGAAATGTGACTATATTCAAATATTTGAAGTTTAATGTTTATTAATAATGTTCAATATAGGCTGTGAATAAATTAGGATAAAATATGTTGATTTTTTTAAAGGAAAAATTCTAAACGGATAAAAAACAGGTTATTTTATTTGATTCAATTTTTCCAATCTAAATTTGAAAAATTCATACCCAGCGTGTTCGTTTAATTCATTTGGATTCTCATATTCAAAATTTTAAATACTTAAATTTTTTTAAAAATATGAATATTTTTCCAAACAATATATTTCTTATAATATTAAAACCAATAAATATTAATTAGAAAATGTGAAGGAAAAATATATTTTAAAGATGACATAGCCAATAAAAGTGTGAAAAGATAAATAGTACGTGGTAAAACGGACTGTCCGTCCTGTCCGTCCCGCACATCTTAAGCTCGCAGGGACGAATAAGCCTATCATTTAAAATTGTGTTTAAAAATCTAACTTGTTCCGTCAAGGTAACGAGTTGACGGGCGGCGAGTCTGTTCTTTTTTTTTTTAATAGATTAATAGTTTTTTCTTTTACATTTTAATTAGATTTTTTAGTTATTTTTAAAATAAATCTTCAAATTCATTAAAATATTTATATAAAAATAAAATTTTAATTATAGATGCATTTATTGTGAGTATAATATAATAGATATCTAAAATTTGTTAAATAAGATGTCAATGATTCGTAAAAAATGTGTAATTTAGTCTAACCTTAGACTAGTCCTTCGGTCTTTATCAAAATTACCATGCTTTGTTAAGGAGCATGACTATACTCCATTAAAGAGCATGAAGAATAACTCATATATAAGAATATCTCATGACGCGGTGACTTCGCATGTGTGTTGACTAACTTGTTGAATTTTACTTATAGTCTCTTGTGCATCTCATATAATTGTAAGTAAATGAATCAAGATTATTGATATTATTTGGATCCGAACTATAATGTTTGTAACGATTTATAACTCTTAAGCATGAAATATATAAAGACAAAATGATCGAGAAAGAATGTGACAGTATAATAGTAAAATGTTGTGTAACGCTATTTTAATCAAGTTTTAATTTATTAAATTGTAACTTAAAGTGGCCTAGAGAAATAACTAGAATATGTAGACCACAAACAAAAACAATTTTGTAAAATATATATGGATGATGTTTTATGTAGTTCACATTTATATTTATTTAAGATGAGTGAGAGGTAAAAATGTTTACCTCAATTTCACATAATTGTTTAAAATTTTAAATATTAAAATAAAATAATTAAGAAAAAATTTAGTAAAAGTAGAAAAAAAAATTGAAGTATGTGTTAAAAAAGTTTTAAGTAGTTTCCAAAAATAATTTTCCCAAACAAATTTTGTAGTTTTTCATTTTTAAAACAATTCTTAAAACAAGAATAACCAAACAGTTTTCTTTATAGTTTTTTTTTTCTTCTTAAAAACAGTTTTTAAAAATAAATTTATAAAAGAGTATTTAAAAACTAAAAATCAAAATTATATCAAACGAGCCCTAGATATCCTTTTCAACAAGTATGAGTTTCTAAGTTGTTGGGATTTGACTTTGAAATTTTGTATAAGAAAGGCCCTTCAAACATGTTGTTGATGCACTGTTAAGGAAGGAAGGCGCTGAAATGTTGGCCTTGTTGGTGCAAAGATAGAATAAATGATGAAATAGGAAATATTACTAATAAGAGAATGACGGCTACAAAACATGACATTTGTTACAATGATTGTCACCCTATTTATAAGCTAAAACTAGGGTTACTAGAATAAGATAAATACTAAAATACCCTCTAACAAACTTAGGGGCCAAGAAAATAGTACAACTAAATAAATATGAATTATTAATAATATTCTAATACCATCCCTTAATTCATATTCCATCAAAACTTGTAACACCAATTCCATCCCTTAATCTGAGAAATTGATCAGTCTTGATAGCTTTCGTCAGAACATCTGCCAACTGCTTCTGAGTGCTGCAGTGTACAACTTCTAACACTCCACTCTGAACTTGATGTCTCAGAAAATGATACTTGGTCTCAATATGCTTGCTTCTCCCATGCAGCACTGGGTTTCTGGCAAGGTTGATTGCAGACTTGTTGTCAATCATCAACTTCAGAGGTTTGTCTACCTTAATCTTCAGATCCTGCAACAGATTCAGAATCCACACAGCTTGGCATGCAGTAACAGCACCTGCAATGTATTCAGCTTCACAGGTTGACAACGCCACAACAGGTTGCTTCTTGGAACACCAAGAAATGGGACCTCCCAGAAATTTGAACAAGTACCCAGATGTACTTCTTCTGTCAACTCTGTCTCCACACCAATCAGAGTCTGAATAACTCAGAAGTTCTGACTCATTATTTCCTCCAGAGGGAAATAACACTCCATACTTCAGAGTTCCTTTGATATACCTCAGAATCCTGACAGCAGCTTGGTAATGGGACCACTTAGGTTTACTCATGAACCTACTAACCATCCCAACTGAATAACAAATATCAGGTCTGGTATTGCACAGATACCTCAGAGAACCAACCAACTGTTTGAAGGTTGTAGCATCCACATCCTTTCCTTCAGAGTCTGAATCCAGTTTCTGATTTGTATCAGAAGGTGTGACAGCCATCTTACAATTCTTCAGATCAAATCTCTTCAGAAGTTCTAATTCATACTTGAGCTGATGCAAAATGATACCTTTCTCAGAATATCTGAACTCCATCCCTAGAAAGTATGTCATTTTGCCTAGATCAGTCATTTCAAATTCATTCATTAGAACCTTCTTGAACTTGGCTATCTCCTGTTCAGAACTTCCAGTCAATAGTATATCATCAACATATAAACATACCAGAGTCATATTGCCTTCAGAAGTATGCTGAACATAGACACCGTACTCCATCTCACATTTCTGAAAGCCTTGTTTCTTGAAAAATGAATCAATCTTCTGATTCCAAGCTCTGGGCGCTTGTTTCAGTCCATATAGAGCTTTGTATAATCTGTACACCATCCCTTCCTGATTCTTTTCCTCAAATCCAGGAGGTTGTGACACGTAAACTTCTTCTTCTAATGGACCATTCAGAAATGCAGATTTTACATCTAAATGCATCAGAGGCCAATTCCTGTTAGCAGCTATTGCAATCACCATTCTGATTGTTTCATGTCTTGCTACAGGTGCAAACACTTCAGAATAATCCAGCCCAGGTTTCTGTAGAAATCCTCTGGCTACCAACCTTGCTTTATGTTTGCCAATTGAACCATCTGGCTTTAACTTCTGCTTGAAAACCCATCTGACGCTGATGGCTTTCTTGTCTTTTGGAAGTTCTGTCAGCTTCCAAGTCTTGTTTCTCTCTATAGCATCAAGTTCTTCTTTCATGGCCTTCAGCCAGAGCTTCTGCTTAAGAGCCTCCTCTGTACTTATAGGTTCAGAGTCTACTAACACGGCACACTGAATAACTTCTCCTTCAGAGTCTACTTCAGTGTCTTGCAGCATGTCAAATTCTGCAAATCTTCTGGGAACGCTTCTGATTCTTTGTGGTCTCTGAACTTGTTCAGAGTCTTGAGCTTCAGAGTTTCTAACTTCAGATGATTGGCCTCCAGAGCTTTGACCATCTTCAGAGTCTGGCATATTTCCAGAGTCTGAATTGCCACCAAGATCTGGATTGTCATCAGAGTCTGAATCACCAGAGTTTGGGTCATCAGAGTCTGGGTCATCAGAGTCACCTTCATCTTCTGAGTCTTCTTCAGAGTTTGAATCAGTATCAGAGTCAGAGTCAATATCAGGGTTTACTTCAACTTCAGAAATTCTTAACTCTGGCCTTTCTTCAGAGGTTCTAACATCAGAATCAGATTGAGACTTATCCCAATTCCAAACTTCTGATTCCTTCACAATCACATCTCTGCTGAATTCAATTTTATTGGTTTCTGGACAATAGAGCTTGTATGCACCTGTACTGTGGTACCCTATCAGAATCATCACTTTGCTTCTATCATCCAGCTTCTGTCTTCTGGCTTCTGGAACATGTTTATAGCAAACAGAACCAAATACCTTCAGATGACTAACACTTTGCTTGTCTCCAGTCCACTTCTGCATAGGAACTATTTCCTTCAA